CACATTTATTGATAACCAGACTCTGGCTTATGGTCTTAGATAATACCTTGCACAAGGAAGAGGAAGTGGTTGAACAGTGATTCAAACCCAACAGAGTTTGTCTACAAAACCTATGCTCTCCAGCACCATTTGATTTACATTCTGGTGCTTTGGAGCTTGCTGAATTCTCAAAGAAGCCCTTTCTATTGGGTGACAATTCCAACTTCAAAAATCTTTCTCCTATTGTGCTGAAATTTGCCTTCTTGTAACGAACCCTCCCTCCCTGCCTCACCCCCAGCACATAAACACACATACGCATTGGTGCTTGTTCTGTCCTTAGGGGCCACAAGAGACAAGCCAGCTCCTGCTTCACCAGGACTTATACACAGTAACCCTGTCCCCCTCAACCCTGGTTTTCTCAACTGCAGGATAAACATGCATAGGTTGGCAGTCCTTCCTCTTATAAGATATTTCTAGACCTTTCATTGCTGATCATTTCCTATAAAGATAAGAATCTGTTTGTGCTTTTTAAAGAGTCTCTGCAGAATAAATTGCTCATTCTGAAATATAAAAGCTCTACTATCAGAATACGATTCTTCATGTCTAACCTAAATATCTCAAACTGCAATCTCAAGTAATTTTCCCTAGGTCCATCCTCAAAGGAGACATAAACCAGCCATTTGTGTGCACAGGAATATTTTACATTCTTAAAGGTCATTTACTTGCTCCCTAACTTTTCTCTCTCTCGTATAAATATTTCCAGTTCTAGTAAATTTATCTTCATAAGGTTTACCTCCTCCCCCAGCAGTGACTTCTGCAACTCCTCTTTGATCTAGATCCAAGTTGCTGCTGAGTTCAAGACTAGATTCAGCTAGGAGGTCAAGCTCAAGTTTAAGCAAAGGGGAGGCTATTGGTGTGGACTCTTGCTGGGTTTTGTTCCCAGAAGTGCAACAAAATAGCAGCTACTGTTTAATGAGTGCCTACTATGAGCCTGACACCGCACTGGATGCTTTATGCACAGGTTTCTAATCCTTAATTTTCTCTGAAACGTTTTTGACTCCTGTTTTATAAATGCAGTCATGGCTTAGAGAGCGTAAGTAGCTTTCCAAAGTTACAGGGTTAGTGAGTGACATTTGAACCCAGATATGTCTAATTCCAAAACCTAAGCATTTTGCACAACACTGGAACTATGATGAGTTTTCCCCAAAGTACAAAACCATCCACCCCCCTCAGACCGCTGTGAGCCAACTGGGAAATACACAACCCACAAGAATAGCATATGCTCCCCCAAACAATGCAATATTTGGCTGTGCACTGCACAGCTCTTAAATACACAGTGAAAAATTCTCACTCTACTCACACTCTGGTCAT